AGCCCGGGGGCCAATGAGGGATGGGGGTGACAATGACATGGGACACACGTGTCACACACATGTCACACACATGTCACACACGTGTCACATGTCACACGCGTGTTCCAGGTGTCTCTGCGAGCCCGGGGGCCAATGGGGGACGGGGGTGACAATGACACGGGACACGTGTCACACACATGTCACACACATGTCACATGTGTCATACGTGTCACACGCGTGTTCCAGGTGCCTCTGCGAGCCCGGGGGCCAATGAGGGACAGGGGTGACAATGACACGGGACACACGTATCACACACATGTCACACGTGTCATACGTGTCACACGCATGTTCCAGGCACCTCTGTGAGCCCGGGGGCCAATGGGGGACGGGGGTGACAATGACATGGGACACACGTGTCACACCTGTCACATGTCACACACACACGTGTCACACATGTCACATGCGTGTTCCAGGCGTCTCTGCGAGCCCGGGGGCCAATGGGGGATGGGGGTGACAATGACACAGGACACACGTGTCACACAAGTGTCACACACATGTCACACACATGTCACACGTGTGTCATACACATGTCACATGTGTCATACGTGTTCCAGGCGCCTCTGCGAGCCCGGGGCCAATGGGGGACAGGGGTGACAATGACACTGGACACACGTGTCACGCATGTCACATGTCACACACGTGTCACACACGTGTCACACACATGTCACACGTCAGACATCACATGTGTCACACATGTCACCCGCGTGTCGCAGGCGCCTGTGCGAGCACCAGTACGGGAACGCGCCGCGCGTGCGCATCAACGGCCACGTGGCGGCGCGCTTCCCCTTCATCCCCCTGCCCCTGGACTACGTCCTGCCCGAGCTGCTCAAGAACGCCATGAGGTACCCCAAGGGATTTTGGGGCGAATTCCGGGGATTTTGGGCAAATTCCGCATTTTGGGGGGTTTTTTTGGGGGGTTTTTTGGAGATTTTTTGGGATTTTTGGGGGGTTTAAAGTGGATTTTTTGGGGGGTTTTGGTGGCTCAAGAACGCCATGAGGTACCCGAAGGG